GTAAAAGGTTTTCTCTCATCCGTATATATTGAACTGTGGCTTGACTTTGGTGAGATACAAGGGAGTAATTGCTTTGAGGAGGTTCTAGTAACATCAAAACACAAGAGTAAGGCTCAAGTGATTTGTCAGGCAGCTTTTAAAATTATTGCTATAAAAGCAAGAAGAAAGAAATTTTTCTTGGTTTTAAGGCAAGGCTTTGACTAATGTTTTTGAACTACAATTCCCAGAATTCCATCTACCTTACAGAAATGAAAGCCTACTTAATTTCATATTGAGAGTCTGAGATCAATTTACTAGTCTATGTTATGGCTCATAAACTACTCAGACGCAAGCAACAAAACACCTAAGAAAGGTTTCCAAGACTAAATTGAGGCAGAGAAAGGGGCAAAAACTAAACACTCCCCTGAATAATATTTTTGAGGCATTATTTGGCTAAATGCTTTAGTTCTGTTTTCCTTTGTAGTGAAGAACTGGTCATCCTAATGTTCAATGAATGTTGCACTGTACAGCCAAACAATTACTAGGGCTATAACCCATTCTAACCCTCAGGTTTATAGTTTATCATTAAAAATTTGTAAGGCAAATCAATATGAGGAAAGAAGCATTATTTAAGGATCTCTAAATCAGAAGACCAAGAATCTCACCATAATTTCGATCTTTGTAAGCATTATTCTTTATTTTGAAATATATTAAGTGGTATTTAAATTGTCCTTTGGTAAGAACAAGAGTTAAAGTCAGGTCCCTGAGCACCGGACAAAAGGAGGAAACACTCAACAAGTGGAGAAATTAGGTCACTTAATGGATCCTTGCCTTGGTTTCTTCATCTTAAAAGTGCAGACAAGAATACCTATCCATTTCAAAAGATTTTTCCTTTCCAATGCCCCCATTTCTGTAAATAAAACAACTCCCATTTATTACCTAGGAGACTATGAATCTCTTAGATTACAGGCAGGATGGAAACATGGTTTAGAACAGCGGTCCACAACTTTTTGGCACCAGGGACTGGTTTCATGGAAGACAATTTTTCTACAGATTGGGGGTATGGAGCTGGGGTGGGGCAGGCAGAACTCAGGCGGTGATGCTAGCAATGGGAATTGGCTGGAAATACAGATGAAGCTTTGCTTGCTCACCCACCACTCACCTCCTGCTGTGTGGCCCGGTTCCTAACAGGCCACGGATCAGTACCAGGCCACAGCCCAGTACCAGGCCACAGCCCAGTACCAGGCCCAGGGGTTGGGGACAGCAGGTTTAGAGCATGGAGTCAGACTACTGAGTTTTCTGCTCCACCAGTCACTAGATGCAATAAATGGGTATAACATAACCTCTTTAAGCCTCATTTGCAATCTTCAAAATGATAGATCATTATAGTATCTATCTACCAGGGCTGCAATAATTATTAAATGAGATAATACATGTAAAGCATTTAGGACAGTGGTGGGCCCATAATAAGCATTCTATAAATGCTAGCTATTGTTATTAGAACCTTTAATTAGTCTTTGGCTTCTCTTGTTCCTTCAATCCTCATATCCAATCTGTCACCAAGCTCTGTCAATTCTTTCACTTACATATACAAAATTTTGATTAAAGCATCGCTAAAAAAAACAAACAACTGGAAACACTCCAATGTCCACCCATGGGCAACTAGATAAATACATCATGGTACCTCCAGATACTGGAATACTATGTAGCTTTAGGTAAATCAATAAATATAAACATAGTCATCTCTCAGACTCTGTTGGGGATTGGTTCCAGGACCAAAAATCTATGGGTGCTCAAGTCCCTTATATAAAATGGGGTAGTATTTGCATGGAACTTATGCATATCCTCCCATATACTTTAAATAATCTCTAGATTATTTAAAATACCTAATACAATATAAATGCTATGCAAATAGTTGTATTGTTTAGGGAATAATGACAAGAAAAAAAGTCTGTGCTATACATGTTCAGCACAGACACAACCATCCTTTTCTCCCCCCACGTATTTTCGATCCTTGATTCATTGAATCCACGGATGCAGAAGCCACGGACACAAAGGGCTGACTGAATAGAAAGGTACCCAAGATATGCATGATGTTTCGTTAAATGAAAATAACCAGATGCCAAAGAGTATGTCTAAACCTATCTCCTTTGGCTAAAAACACGTAGAAAGATATCCAGGCTCACAAGTAATCAGAGAAAAGTAATTTAAATCTGTAAAAAGATAGGATTTTATAACCCATCAGAGTGGCAAAATTTAAAAAGACCAGGTAATTGTGTGGACTGGAAGCTCACCGGCACTGTGGGCAGGTAAAGTTGAAGATGTCCATTCTCCTATAAACCAGCAATTCCGCTTTTGGATTCTATATCCTAAAGACACTCTTACACACGTACCCAAGGAGGCATACAAAGATGTGCACAGAGCATTTGAAATAACAAGAACTGAAAACAACCTAAGTATTCATCAATAGGGAAATGGATAAATTTTATGTTCAGATAATGCAACTTATACAGCAGTTAAAAATGAATGAACAAAGACCACATGTCTTAATTCAAAACCATAATAGTAAAATGTCAAAAACATAATGTTGACTGAACAAAACAGGGCACTATATAGCTATATAGATATGTAGATACAGATTTACCCATGAATTATAGATTACCTATGAAAGAAATGAATAAAAGCTTGGTTAGAAGGATGCACACCCACGTAAGAGTATGATTACCTCTGAGGAGGAAGAAGAGGAAGAAAGTGGAATGGGTTTGAGAAAGGTTACAAGGAAAATTTATCTGTAACATTTTAATGACTTTAAAAATATATCTGAATCAAATATGGCAATATGGCTTATATTATGTTTTGCCCTGTACTTTTCTATAGGTTAGAATTTTTTCATAATGAAAAAATCCAACATCAACAACAAAACAACACAATCACCTCAGAGCACTATAACCTTAGAAAAGTTACTTCATCTCTGTTAGCCTCATTTTTCTTATCTATGAAATGGGAAAAGCAGCACTTTCCCTGCAGGATTATGGTGAGGAATTAAGTGACACTACAGCAAGGCCTTTAAAAGGTGAAATCACTGCTATTGCTCTCATGTCCATCTGGTAGTTTCTTTGCCCACTGGGTGTTCACTGTCTAATTCAAAATGCACCACCTTGCAGAACAATCTTCCTTAAACACTGCTTCCTCTCGCTCCCTCCTCAGGAAGCTGTATTCTCTCCTCCTGGCTTGCCCGGCCCAGTCCAATCGATGTTGTCTGTCTCTCTGAAGCCACCCTTCTTCTGTCTCCAGCACCTCAGTGGCAGCATTTATCACTTTTATTGTGATGGTGTGAGATCCCCTAAGAGTGCGCGAGTTTGACTCAACTTGATATCCCCAGGGAAAGAAAGGAGCAGAAGAGAAAGGAAGAAAAAGACTCGGGACTGGGCTGTCATTCTGGCTCCCATGGGGGCCCTGGCAGTGAGTGTATCCCTAGGACAAGTAGTTTGAGTTCTTGGTACTCAACGTCCTCATCGGTAGTGTGGGGTGGTTACACCCGACCTGAAAATTCACCTTCCAATACTAAAGGCACATTTTCGAAGCCCCTATAATCAGACTCCGACTCAGTCTATTTTGCTTGCACTCAAAACAAATCCTCTGTAATCCAGCTGGGCTCCCTAATGTGCCACAGACATGTCGCTCTAATTCTATTCCATTATCCAAATCTTACATTGTCTTCCAGACCCTGCCCAAGTTCCAGGCCTTCCAATAAACTTCCCTTAATATATTTCAGCCCTAATTTTTTAAAAATAATCTAACACACTATAACTTATAAAGAACTATTCACTGTTCTTAACACTTTATATGTATTAATTTATTTTAGCCTCATGATAACTCCATGAGATAACTATTACTATTATCCCACTTTTACTGATGAAGAAACTGAGACACAGACACATTAAGTGGACTTGGCCAAGGTCATACAGCTAGTAAGTGGCAGAACCAGTACTTGCGCACTAAAACCCCTTTCAGACCAGTAGGTTTTAACTTCTTTTGTACTCTATTATATGATTTAGTGAGTTAGTTAAAACAGGGGGATATCACCACATTATTTTATATTCCCTTACATTTTTTGGTAGCTCATGGCATAAAGTTAAAGCCCATAAATATTGGGTATTACAGTAAATTCTTATATCAGGGGTCCCCAACCTTTTTGACAATAGGGACCAGTTTCATTGTAGACAATTTTTCAATTTTTCCACAGATGGGGGGAGGTGGGGCAGGGGGAGAAGCGGAGCTCAGGAGGTGATGCCAGCGATGGGGAGCGGCTGTCAGTGAAGCTTCACTGCTTGCCCGCTGCTCACCTCCTGTAGTGTTTCCACGCCCCGCCCCACGTTTCATGGAAGACAGTTTTTCCATGGATGGGGTGGGGAATGGCAGAGCTCTGCTACCAGTCTGTGGCTCAGGGGTTTGGGGACCACAGCCTTATACGATCATACAAGCCCTGGGAGGTAGACCCCTACCAGCTCTGAAGGAATGGGCCAAACGGAATTCTACCCTCCTTTATCTGTGCTTTATTGACATTCATAGCAATCCTGGGAGATAGATAGGCCAGATCATTTGACAGTTGAGAAAAAGTGAGATGAAAAAGAGTTACGTGACTTATTCCAAATTATACACTGAACAGCAGAGTGGTGCCTGAACCAAATCAAGACCACCTGACTCCAAATCACATGATTTTCTATAGTAGGTTTCTGTGGTTTCATAACAATAGAGACACTTGGCAATGGACAAGAAATAAAGAGTATGAGAAATGCAAATGAACTTATTAACACCTATTGCATTTTTTAATTTAAAAAAATGAATGTGGCAAAAACCACAGTGCCCAGCTATCACTGGCTGCTTGGTGACCTGTGTCATGCACAATCATAAAGTGCTCGTTAAGAGAGTATGTCCTAACTCTCACTAGGAATGGTATCAGTATTATTCAACAATACGTTTTAGAACCCATTATTATCTTACGCAAGCCCATTCCTTACCTGTTATTGGCGCTGTTGTCCTGGTCATGGAGGTTTTCCTCGCCGGCCACTGGAGCTGCTTTTCGGCTTGCTTCCTCTTCTGTCTCACTCAGGCTGTCCTCCTCTAAGCTGTCAGGCTCCATATCATTGTCCTGGATTTGGTCCTCAAGTTCAGGCTGAGACTTAATCTCTTGAGTGAGGCTTTCTGAATCAGATTCCAAGGAGTCTCTTGAAATCAGATGTAAGTCTTCTTTCTTAACAGGTGGGTGTGTGGGCTGGATATTGAAGTTGGCATGACGGACTGGAGAATGGGTAGAGAGCTTGGGAATTAGTTTACTGTTACTCATCTTGAAAAATAGAAAAATTAACAGGGGATACTCTTGTTGATTGGAGCGGTTGGCTGATGTTTAAAGTTGTGGTTTGCAAACACATTACCTAAAAAAAAATTATATTTATGTTACTGTGTGACTATGGAAATCTCCTTAATGCCAACGTTAATCGAAAATTTCAATGAGTAAGAGAACCTCGTTATATTATCTGCAGGCTTTTGCATGCATCCTTTAGCGAGTATGAGAAAGGTCTCTTGGAAAAACTATTTTTCTCTCTATAGAAACAAATCTGATGTAGAGCTGTAGAGCTCATAAACAGATCGAATGCAGTTTTATTGAGAAAATAAATGGCTGCTGAGAAGCAGATTCCTATTTCTAGTTTTCAAGGGCTTGTTACTGACAAGCCTGGAAAAAGCCAAATGGTTAATTATGGACAGTTCTTTGATGGCTTATTTCAAATGCCCAGAGCAACAATATAATCATGCTCTGTTCAGTAGTATTCATGGATAGTGTAAAACAGGTTCAGGGTCTACCTTTTGGACAGTAAAAGAAGGAGAGAGGAGTGTGATTTCCCATAGTTGGAACTGTAAATGGGAACCTGTTTTGTTCCTAGATCTATTGTGGCTGGCTACACTGTTTGGAAAAAACTTTTTTAATACTCAGATTGCTTCTGGATAGGAATGTTTAATTTAGGTGAACATATATGAAGATCAATCTCAGCGCGGTATTTAAAAAAGTCCATAATGATGATTAAAACTGTTCAACAAAAGATTTCACAGCCTTATGAATTCTGCCACTGAGTGATTCAAAGCAAAGGCTGGAGCTCCCCACATGTGAAAGGGATGCTGAGCTGGGGAAAGTTGGATGGGTGGGAGATTGGCCTGAATAACAGCTAAGAGTTAGCTGGAGTCCCTTACAACTCGCTTAAGGATGTGATTCCAAGTGAACCCTCACTGTCTCTAAGGGCTATTGTAAAGACCCATGGAGAGGGTGCTTTGTGTTCATGTAGAATAGAAAGGAGATGATGTTTTTGGATTGAGCTTCCTTTCATCTCTAGCTAGCATTTCTATTTTGGTCTGTCTTCTATCTCACTGCCTTTATGCCATTTTTTTTTTCCTATAGGTCAGATAACAGAAACCTTCACCACTGGAGATTACTGTAAAATTTGCTTTAATGGCTTGTTCTTGTTCTTTTGGCAAATCCTAACTTTAATTAAATAACACTACCTTATTCCTATTCCTAGGATTGCTTATAACGTTGACCTTGTTGCTAACGTTTCCAAGGAACATCATCAACTCCTTGGAGAAAGCACCTTAACAAATATGACAGACAAAAGGTAATGTGCATATTTAAATACGCATGAAGTGATTTTTCTTTTTAACTCACAGTTCCCCCTGTTGGTAGACTAATATATTATTGTCTAATTTTACAGACTGGTTTGCTGTATTAAGTCTCTTATTTTAAAGATATATAGTGCATTCTGCTTTATTGTTTTAATACTGATAAACAGAACTGCTGCTTTTTAGGGTGTTTTTAGAAAGCAACAAATCCATCAAATACACATTTTATCTAAAACAGTTTGTATAAACACTGGTTTTACTGTAAGAGTTAGGTCACTGAATTTGGGATCTTGAAGAACAAGCTTAAAATAATCGTTATAGTTCAATTTAGAATTACTCTTTCATAAAATAATTCAGTCCCTTAAATTTCTCTTCTTAAATGAGATAGACTAGGGTTTTTTGGAATTAATAAAACAATGACCAAAGAAGGTAATTTTGTTGTCATTAACAGATCAGTGAAAACTGGGAGAGTGTGAAAAGAGCACAGCCAAATACTACAAAAGCTGGGCTTTCCTTGGAGGCCTGATGTTTTAAAAGCATGGGATCGAAGAGGGAAAAGCTGACAGGTTGAATGAGTTAGGAAGTGGGCGTTTTAAATTTAATGAATGTGGCTCCCTCGGACTACTGTGCAGTGAAATAAACGGCTGTGCCACTGAAATTTCAGACCAAGCGAGGCTGACCAGTCTCGTAAGTAAACAGAAAGGGATATAGCTGATGGTGTCTGGGGACTAAGAAACGCCCGGTTCCCCAAGGATCCCTGCAAGACCCTGGGTTTAGTCCACTAGCACGGGGACAAACGAATTTCCTTCTGGAGGTGAAAAGGAACCCCGCCTGCGCTCACCAAGATGAATGTGAAGGAAAAGGTGCCCTGGTTCGGAACAGGCCGGAAGCTGCCTCTAAGAGACGTTCGGTTTGTTTTCTACCTGTGCTTGTTTCTGAGGGACAAGACCCGCCGCAAGGGGCGTTTTAGGGTCCAGGAAGTGACGGGTCGGCGGGTCTGGTGCCCCACCCTGCCTCGATTGCCGAGGACGGGGCTGCTCTGGGAGCCTGGGCGCCGGAGGCTCCCAGGTCGCGGGCCCTGGCCCTGCCCAGCCGCGGCCGCCCTCGTCCTTTCCGCCCGCGGCCCGAAGCTCTCGCGCCGGCTCCTCTGAGTTCTCCCCGTCCCGATCCAGTTTGTTCCGTGGTCTCCTGCTGTCCCCATCCGCAGTCCCAGCCCTTGCCGTTACCCCTCCCCCCCGGATGCGCCACCCACCCCGGTCCCGGGAGGCCACCGCCCGTCACCTGCGACCGCGACCCCGGCGGACTGGCATCCTTCTGCGTTGTCGCCGCCGCCGCCAGGCGCTGCCCTGGAGACCGCGGGCAACACAGCCGCCGCCGGGCGGGGCGCGACCCGGCCCTCCCCGCGTCGCGGACCGCACCCGGCCCGGCCTGCAGGCTGGAAACACTGGGACAACGGCGTCTCGGAGAGGCTGCTGTCGGCCACCCTGACTTTCCAAAGTGGGAAGGCTAAGGAAGGCAGGCCGCCGAGTGGGAGGAGATACCACCCACAAAACTGCTAGGACACGCGAGAACTGCAAACGAAGGAGGAAAAGAATCCAATTGCAAGAATGGGTAAATGACCGCAACAGGTATTTCACACACACAAAAAGAAATCCAAATGGCCAGTAAATATTTGTGGTTCATTGCAAAAGTGCTGGATTCATTAATAATCAGAAGATGGCAAATTAAAACCACAGTGGATACCACCCTCGCCGGACAGGCGGAAGTTGACACGTCTGACAGTGCCAAGTGCTGGGGAGGACGGGTAGGGCAAAGACCCTCGTCTGCTGCTCGTGGGGGCGTGAACGGCTGCAACTGCTACGGAATGGTTTGGTACATTAGCCAGGCTCTGCGTACCTTAGGATCCAACAATTTCGCTTTTAGGTATTGACCCTAAAGAAGTGTGTGCTTGTGTGTGTCTGAACTGGAAATAAGTGAAATGCCCATCAACAATAGAATGGTTAATTAAATGGTGGTATTCCATACACCGGCATACTACACAGCAGTGAAAATGAATAAAATACTGCTACATGCAACCACATGGAGGCATCTTAAACATATCATATTGAACAACAAATTCCAGAAAAATATATAGTATTTGATGTTGTGTATAAAAATTAGAGACACGCTAAATTACACTCTACTATGCTTATGGATGCATATTTAGTGGAGAAAAAGATGCGGGGGGGAGGGAGCGGAAGCAAAGTAGTGATTCCCATAAAGTTAGGATTGTGGTTAGTTCTGGTATTCAGGGCGAGGGTTATGGGAAAGAGTGCTTTTCAGATTGTATTTCCTAACCTTAATGGTGCTTACAAAGATGTTCATCTTACAATACTTCCTTAAGCTGCACATGTATATATTTCACTATCAAAAAAGCTTTCAAAGAAGAGTAAAGAAAGGAAGCGATGGGAATTATATGCGCATTAAAATAGCATTAAAACCACCTGTAGATTTGAATAACTGTTTTCAAAGAGGCGAGAATGCTTCAATACCAGTTGCCTCATTAATAATAGGAAACGTAGGAAATTGGAAAATGTCCTTACTACCCGGCTTTGGCATTTTTTATCTTTATCTTTTATTAGTATTAGATCTTTAAAATTTTTTTCACGGGAGGGACTAGTCTTATGAGTGTA